CTGATAACAATGTCAAACTATACCTTGGAGGGGAAAATCCTTAATTTCATATACTTATTGAAGCTGTGAGTGTACAGTATAATGGTGAACAAGTCTATCCCTTCTAATGGCTTCCAAAACTACTATTGCCCTCTAATCCGTAATCCACAGAAAACACAGATGCATACAATGTTATTCTAAATACTTGTCCAAAAGTCAATCTTCTGGGATTAGATTTCTAGCAACTTCATAAATTCCTCTTTTTTATTACTTAAAGAAACATTTGTTGTGTACTTTACTGAATATAAGGTTATGAATCTGCAGTAGTGTAATACATTTTGTAAGTATAAACAACCTAGTCTGGAAAGGATGGGAAACAAAGTTGAAAATTAACCTATAATACTTGTGATAAACCAAAAATAAACATTAAAGTGTAAACTGTTATGAAAACACTTTCAAAGGGTTTACTACAACATTTAAATAAAAAAGTGCAACCAACATAGACCTGCTACTTTAAAAACAAATTTAGACAGAAAATGAACATTTCAAATGTTAAATTGCAGATTACTCAAAAGTAATTTGTATTTGACTACAGTAAAAAAATAAATATGAACCAGGATTATATTTTATTTGAAATATGAATCCACCGGTGCAGTCAAAACAGCATTGAGTTAGTCTTGCTCTGTAAATGCCTGGTGAATCCTAAAGTACATCATCGTCTCATTACTCTAGTCTAGGAAGAATAATTTTAAACCATACAAAGCAGGAATGTTTCTTTGTTAAGCAAGTGCCAGATTAAAAGTGTTATTGGGTTGTAGGTGATGTTGACATACGCGTCTACTAAACATGTCACGCAGGTGCTAGGAAGGTTTAATTTCACTGGGCTAAAGCATGAAATTGATGACAGATTGAATGTGAAAGTCTTGTGACCCTTGTCATGTGAGGACAAACATTACTTTGTTGAAAAACAAAGGGATATTATTGATGGCACTATTGCTGTAATAACAGTTTTAGGAAGGTCAGCCCCCTGGGTGTAATTGAGAGTTTGATTGCTCACCTATCAAAGTCATATTTGGTGTTTCTGTGGCCTTGAGTTAGACTGGTGTCTGTAGTATACATTGAAAGAGTGGCCATTTTACCCACCTTTCCCTCATTGTTTCACCACAGTATGATGAAGTCTATAGTCAGATATCTAATTTTCTAGAGCCAGACATCTAATCTAATTTCATGATGCAGTCTACAATTGCTATTCTGTACTTCATTTGTTCACTCAGGGACATACTCAAGAACGTTATCTTTCTGTTGGCTCTTAAAAAAAGACATTTACACACTCTCCTAGAGCTATGTCACAGCTAGAAAAAGGAAATCCCTCTTATGTTCAGTCCCTGAGACTATAAGATAAGATCACTTTATTGGACATATACAGTACAATTTCTTGTATTAGGAATTGAGCATAGCCTCCTTTCATTGTATTTCTTAGATTCTGACATTCTTTAGTATCTTTAATTATATATATATAACTTTCTTTTTTCTTATTTTTTATTTTAATAAAGTCTCTTGGCTGTCAAACAGAAACTAATTAAGTCTTAAAAATCTTCAAGAAGCTGGCAGTCAAACAAAAGGTTGATTCAAATCAATTTAAACTTTATTGAAAACCAGTATGCTGTAAATTACAGTACAGTATGTATAATTGTAAAGATACTACAGTAATTTAAACACACTGGCAAAGACTTTTATCAATGTCATTGGATAACAGTGATTTTGTTTAAACCTTTGAAAAAAAGACATTTAATATTGATTAAACTGCACCTTTTCTACCTTCTAACCCGATCTGAACAGATCTCAGAAGCTAAGCCAGGCTGGGTCTAGTCAGTGCAGGAATGGGAAACCTCAAAGTAAGATAAGTTTGCTGCTGTAAGTAGTATTAATGGCCCTCTTCTCTCTCAGAATTTCCAAACTTATACCCTGGTAAGATGATGTAAGGCAGTTACATTCTTTTGTATGAGATATTAAACCAGCATCTTCACTATTTGATTATTAAATATCCCCTAGAAGTGTTTTTTTTTTACAATAGGGATATTAACCCCAGTGTCTTAATTTCACTGTGGAATTACATCCAGGCATTCACCGAAATCTTTCTTAATTCAGTCTGTGAAGTATTTTCTTCTTGCTTTTTTACATGTCATGCTGTATCGCAGGGGTACTGAAATACAATGGCTGCTCTGAATCACCTACTGTATTGGTAGATATGGCCATCAGTGGAGGATGAAATGAGTTCATGTCATTATATAAGCACTATGAGATTCTTTGGGATGAAAAATTCTATAGAACTTCAAAAATATAATATGCAAAAATAATATAATTATTATCCATTCTGTCTGTTATATACATTTATCACTTCTCTTCTTCTTCTTCTTTTTCACAGCCTTAGTCCCAGACTGTCCTGGTGTCAGCTACTTTGGTTGCTCTTCTCTACTTGTCTCTGTCGAGCACATCTTCCTCACTCACTTCACATACCTCCTGCCTCTTCCTCTGTTACCTTCCACCTCAAATTCCATTACCCTCTTTGTTACTTCCTCAACGTCCCTCCTCATCATATGTCCATACCACCGTAACCTCGCCTCTTGCATCTTCTCAACCACATCCACCACCCTACAGAATTCGTCTACAGATTTCTTCATTTCTGATCTTATCCTTCACTGAAATCTGCAGAATCCATCTCAGCATCCTCATTTCAGTTCTTCTCATCATGTTCTCTTCCCTCTTTCCAACTGCCAAGCATTCAGCTCCATATAGTAGTACAGGTCTAATCACAGTCTTGTACATGTTGCACTTTAACTTTCTAGGAATTTTCCTGTCACAGATTATTCCAGTTATTTCTCTCCACTTGTTCCATCCAGCTTTCACTCTTTGTTTTACTGCCTCCAGTGTTTCTCCTCCCTTTCCCAGTTTTGATCCAAGGTATTTAAAGCCTCAACTTGTTTCAGTTTTCCTCCATTTGTCTCCTCAACATTGGTCATAGTATCTCTTCTTCTCTCCATTACCATTATTTCAGATTTTTCTGCATTCATTTTCAGTCCACCCTTTTCCAGACTCCTCTGCCATTTAAACACTTTCTCCTGTAGTTCTACTTCTGAATCTGCCATCAGTGCCACATCATCAGCAAAGATGAGTTCCCAAGGCTCTTTTGTTCTTACCTCCTCTGTCAGTGAGTCAATAATGTTTATGAAAAGGAAAGGACTTAGTGCTGATCCTTGGTGTACTCCAACTGTGATTTCAAACTCTTTTGTCTCTCCCCGTTGTGTTACCATCTTCGTAGTTGCATCTCTATAGGTTGCTTGAACTAACTTCACCATGCTTTCTGGTACTCCTTTCTTCCTCAAGCACCAATACACCACCTCTCTGGGCACACGGTCATATGCCTTCTCCAAGTCCAGAAAGGCCACATACAGATTTTTCCCTTTTTCTAGTGTCTTCTCCTGTAACTGTCTCATCACAAAAATGGCATCTGTTGTGCTTTCCCCCGCTGAGAATCCAAATTGTGAGTTGTGGATCCTGACTATCTTCCTGAGTCTCTTGTCATTTATCACTTCTCAATCGTAAGTATTACATTACCATAAATGCTTAAGAATTTATTTTCTTTATTAACAGCCTTTTCAAAAGGTGATTCTGTACCATAAGATATGCTCTGATTCTATCAATTTTTTAATACTTGTTAAAAAAAATTGATATGTTAAAGAAGACATACTGTATTATTCCTGAATGTTTTTTGACTATCCCCTAGAATCCTTTTGTCATACAGATTTTCTATTTATAGTTCTCATAACATTACATGAAATAGACTTAAGACTTACCGGTCTTTAATAAGTAGATTTGATTTTGTCACTTTTTTATGGATGCATGCTACATTGCCAATTTTCCAGTCAATGAATATTACCCCTATCCTGAGAGACTGCTAAAATCCTCTATTAACATTCTATGAATAACATATTTTTTCCTTACATACAACTGGTAGAATACCATTAGACTCTATAAAGATGTGTTTTCCTTAAATGCTTCCATCACCTGTACCACTTCTGCCTTTTTATTGCTCATAGAGTTTATTGTAGAACATTGTCTTTGATCATACTGAGGGATGTTGTCAATTACTTCCTTGGTATTCATCAAGTATAAAACATAAAATAATAATTAAATATATTAGCTACTGTCTCCCTTTTATTCTTTTCATCATTTGTATTGGGACATTTGCTATTATAGCAGACACACTTTACTTTATTGTTTACTGTTCTTTTGCAGTTTAATGTCGAAAAACACTATTTTAGTCTCTAATGCAATTGTATTTTATATATCTGTCAGCTTCTCCTAATATCCTCTACTCACTTGTGCTTCAGGTAATCAAATTATCGTAGTCAAATTCTTTATCGGATGCTGTATCTGTATCTTTTCATGAAGTGGTTTCTTTCTACTTCTCTTTTCTTAATTGGTTTATTAAACATAGTGGGACACTGATTTCTCAATCTGTTGTACTATGTTTTGGGGTGAATCTGTTATTTGCCTCTAACAGAATAATCTAATAGAATACTGTGTTGCCATCCATTCTCTGTTGATTCCCTATCCATTCTGTCCTATCCTATTTAGTCTGCTTTCAGAAAATTATAAACCTGTAAAAATTCAAAATATACCTCACAGGATACTGTTTTACAAACACTTATACTGTAGTTCTCTTTAATCTCTTTCTAGATTAAAAATACTGGTAATAGCTCTTGTAGAAGCTGTGGAAAACAGTGTGAGGATATCAGTCATTAACCATGTTTACCATTTCACTTTGATCTTCTGATATCTCTGAAGACATTACCCAGTCTAGTGGAAAACTAAAATCTCAAATAATTGCTTTTTCCTTTACACATTTTTCATTTAATTATTATAGTAAGATTAGATTATAATTGATATCTGAATGTGGTGGTTTAAAACATGCTCTTAACACCAAGACCTTTAAATACCATTCATAGGCCTGACACAAATAGATCCCAAGAACATGTTTTATCCAGGCAACATACAGTTCCATTAAAAAGAATTTGCCATCTTTCAGATGTTCTGAAATGTTCGATATTATCACCAATGAATTTTATCAGTGTCGTATGGTTCCTAGTGAAATGTTAAGGGAGCCTTGTAAACAAATAAAACATAGTTTGGTGCTTATTTTATGTGTTTCATAAACATTCATCCAACATTCAATAGCCCTATGTGATAAAGTTTGAGCCCCCCTAGTTCAACCAATTCAATTAAAGAATTAGGGACACATGTGAATAATTCATTAAACAATCAGGGCAAATTTTGGTCAACCCTAATCTATTAAAGAGCTCACAAACATTGGCTCTCATCATCACAGTATTTCAAAATATATTCCTGAAGACCTCAGAAAAAAGGTCATTGATGCCTATCACTCTGGAAGCGGTAACAAAAACATTTCTAACACTCTGGAGCACCACCAATCCTCAAACAGAGACATTGAAATGGAGAAGATTTAGAACAAAAGTTTGGTTGTCCTGTTAAAATCAGTCCAAAAACGCATTGTAAAATCATCCAGGAAGTCCCAAAAAATCCCAGAACAATATTCAGGTACCTGCAGGTTTCTTTTGCTGTGGCTAAAGTGAATGTTAATGACTCTGCAATCATAAAAGTACAAGATAAAAACGGGATTCTTGGAAGAGTAGCAAGATGGAAACCATTCCTCACTTAAAAATAACACTGAGCAACAATAAAATACAGTACCAAACATGGTTTTGGTATTGTCATGGATGCCTCAAGACCTGAATGAACTTCCATTGAAGAGGAGATCATGTTGAAGCTGTAGTGCAATTGGGCCATGCAGCAAGACAATAATCCCAAACATACAAGAGAATGGACGAAGAAGAAGAAATTCAATGTTTTGGAATAGCCAAGTCAAATTCCAAACCTGAACCCCATGGAAATTTGTGTCAGGATCTGAAACCAGCAATAGATATTAGAAAAGCCACAAATGGCTAGAGACTAGCCAAGTTGGCATTACCTTTTTCACACGGGGACATTGGATATTGGATGACTTTGTTTATTAAATAAATTAAACAAGCAAACTTTGGTGTTATTTGTTTACTCAGACTCCCTTTATACAGAATATCACAAAGACCCACAAGAAGCTCTGATAAGATTAATTCAAATAGTTTTTCACAGATCTGGACCTGTTACTGAATTATGTTTTTGTTATATATTGCTACACTTCAAATGCTTTCCTTTTTTCTGTCTCTGCAGAACATTTTGTATCCACTAATATTCGTATTTGTCACCATCACTGCTTGGCATTTTTTTGTGAAATGTTTGGTGAATGGGATATTGATCATTCATTTACTGTTAACAAAGTAGGACTTGTTTATTTTACATTTGATCATCTTTAACACATTAAACTAATTGCACAGACAAGCACCTCACTAATGCTTACCATTTCTATTTTTGTTGATCTTGTATTCATTGATCCAATAAATATTTCCCAGCAAACTGCTGTATTGGCTTTAGGAATAATATGCGTGGTGTTCACAGTGTTCTTCTTATACTTGAGAATACAGAATGGAAGTATACACTTAAATACAATGCAAAGCTAATGCCCAATGACACGCATAGTACTGCTTCCTAACTCATTGAAGACAACGGGGCAGGAAATAATAGTGCAGACAGCACAATCACAAATTAATTTTAACCATTCTAAATCTATGACTTATTTTTCTTTAAAACCTAATAAGGAATTGTTTCTGATAAACACTACATCACCCGTACAATTGTGAAATCCCAACAAATATAGACTCTGATCTCTCCTAATGCCTTTTGTTCCTATAGAAATAACGCTGCATAGTTCCCTGGTTTCACTTTAAATTATTGCAGTACTTTATAATGTAAGAGTCTGTATCAGGCTACAGCTGGATCAGTATGGAGCGAACAGAACAGATGTGTGAGGTGTTCGGATGGGTCCGGGGGCAGGCCGTAGTAATCCTGGGGGCAGAGGTTGAGTCTGAAAGAGAGTTCCAGCAGGGGAGCGCAAGGAGAAGGGAGAGCCAACAGCTACTGCTGCAGCTGCTGCAGCAGCAGCTATGTGATTCGGTAATATTCTGGCTGGCAATGGCTTCCCTATTTCCTTCCTCAAAGCAAGCTTTACCTGTGGGGGAAGAAAAAAAAACCCAAAATAAAAAGGCATAGACTAAGTATATCTTTTTTTTTAATTACCATTTGTATAGATTAGACTCTAATGATAAAACATCAGTGAGAGTCAGGGGGTTGAGTAATGACTTCCATTAATCAATTCCAATTGAAATCAGTCCCACACTCAGCAAGCCTGTTCTTTTCTCTGTTTTGCATTTCATGGTATCTCTTCCACCCTCAGCAGATGGACAGACTGTCAGTGTGGAATATTAACTTTTTATTCAAACTCTGGGTTATTTAAGTCTTTATGTTCTTTAAATTATAGAAATGAATTTATGTGTATGTTGTAGGATACATACAATTTTGGACTGCTCATTGTACAAACCATCCCATTTTCTTTTCGTTTTAGAGGAAGATTACCTACAGTAGATACGCTCCCTGTGCCACATGATTACAGGCAGATTTTCAAGGAATTTCAGTAAAAACAATATTGATTCTAGTGAAAAATGTAATTCAATGTTTACTCCCCCAGTTTATCTGTTAATAGTTATTGAACATTAGTTCAATTCAATTCAATTCAATTCAACTTTATTGTCATTAAATTTACACAGGTGCATAGTATAATGAAAAGTGTTTCTCATTAGTCACTCAGGTGCAGTTTATAAATAGGACAGAAGATAAGACAATAGACAGTTACACAATAGCAATAACAGTAACGTAATAACATAAACAAAAAAAGTTTACTTTTGAATATCAGTGAAATTGTGTTTGAATTAACCTAATAACTGTCTAACCTCCAGGTTCTTCTCTCCAATTGAAGGAAAATAACCCTATTTTGGAGTCACCTGGAATATCTCCATGCTTCCATTTTTCCATTGGAAAAAAGTATCCAGCAAACAAATATATTTCTGTATTGGTAGATGGAAAGTTATTTATAAGTTAGCAATATTTGTATCCTTACAAAATTAATATTTTAAATTTGAAATTAAATTGTAAAATTATACTTGTAATTTAATATATAAGTATTTGTAATTCATGTTTTTATACTACTTTGTATCTTCTTTTCACAGGATACCAAAATTATATAAAGAAAGCTAGCAATTATGTTGAATGAGACATACACTTACTGATTGTGCAGTCGTTCCTCTTTGGGATTTATTATAAGGACTGTATTTGGGTTTGGGGGGTTTTCCAGCAGCTCTGTCTTTGTGTCTTCTACTGCTAATGTGCTAAAAGGAAGAAAAAATACTTGATAAAGATAAAGGACTTGATGGAAAGAATATATAAAATATCTTTCACTAAGGTAAGGTATAGTGTTAGGCTTAAAACTAGCTCAGTGTAGTGGAAATTTACCAAACAATAATGAATGTGTTAATAGGGTGACACACACTTTACAATGTTAGTCAATTTTTCCTCTGTAATAAGACACTACTATGCTGTAATGAAGAGCAGATTGTTTTTTTTTGCTCATATAAATATCATGCTAGCTTTCCTTTTGTCAGATTTCAGTATTTTATTTTCTTTCAGAATCTCAAGATTCAAGATGTTTTATAAGATAAATCACACCACATGACAGAAAGATAACTTCAATATTTCAGCTTTCTCTTGCAACTGAACATTTCCATCTTCCTTTAAGGACTAGTGATGTCTCTGTTTTAAATTCACTCCTTTTCTTTTAATCCCTTTTCATAATATAAAATTTACTTTAGAAGTTCATATTCTTCAAGTGACGCTATATTGATGAATAGACAAAAAGGGTAACAAATCTCATGCTTGTTAATTAAAACTTCCTTCTTGTTCATTTAAACAGCAGTCATCCAAATCCACCAGAAACAAACATAACCTTTGTTGAAGGTTATTGAAAAAACTATACAGTGCATTTTTTGCACTACTAGCAGATAAAAATGAAACAGGTTTTTAGGCAAGGTAGCTTTGCCACATTAGAAAATTTACAGACTCACCTGTTTGAGCTGTGTCTCTGAGTTGACATGCACGTCACAGATTTCACAGTGAAATGTTTTATTCTGTAGCCCAGTCACTACCTTGGTAGCTGGAACAGATTTGCCTTTGACACCAGGCCTTGGGAAGGATTTGATTGTTCCACTGCCGCTTCTTGCTTCTAACATAGTCTTGTGCTTTGTACCTGTTATGACAGTATTGAAAATTTAAAACCCTCAGATGTTAACTGAAAAGAAAAGTGGTACACAATAACTTTCCCGTTTCTATACTGCATTTTCAATTTAACAATACCCTATAAAGAAACTTTTCTGTATAGGTAAGAATTATTGCTAATGGTTAATATGTTTATGACCTATACCTCTTCCAGCAAAATTGATTCTGGAGGTATGGCATGCAGCACCATCTATAATAAAATTATAAGTATGGTCATAGCAGGGTTTCCTGTAGGATTGTAATATAGCCCTCCATTGAAGAACACTTGGTTGCCGTATGCCATACCTCTGCTGGGAGAGACAGAATGGGCTGAAACTTCCTCCCTGGGCACCACAGAGTCCTACATAAGAACATAAGAACATAAGAAAGGTTACAAACGAGAGGAAGCCATTTGGCCCATCTAACCCGTTTGGTTGTAGCTAATTGATCCAAGGATCTCATCTAGATGTTTTTGAAAGAAACTAGGGTATCGGCTTCAAAAACATGGCTGGGCAGCTGGTTTCCTGGTGCAATTCATGATATGAATACCGTTGAATACAATAGAAAATTTGTGGATCAAAAAGTGCATAAGAAGTGATTTCTTGAAATTTTGTAAAATAATCGGAGAAAATAAAAACTTATTTTTTTGAGTAGTTTTACAGTCTTGGTGATCTGATGCTTTCATATACTATATGATACCAAAGCTATAACATACTGTATACAATCAATATATCCATTTAAGGTTACTATCCATATTTTATATTTTAGGCTATAGTCCATATTAGATTAATATCATGGATGGTTAAATTCACAGTGAAGATAAATCATCCTATGAAGGCAGGTCACTATGTACAGTATATATTGCAAAGTTACAAAAACTAAAACCCAATATGTGATTTATTTTTTCTTGCATCAATTGTTCAATGCACTGTTTACAAAAACAGGCAGTCAAGCAGCCTTTCTATGACTCCTAATAACCTCTTTGATGTATTTAGAAATTTTAATGTTGTGGTCCATCACATTTGTCCTTTTATCTTTTTTTCTAGCAAATGGTATGAACTGCTCTTTCAATGACATTTCCATCTTACTAACCTTTAATTGATAATTGGCCCCTTCACTACACATTAGTGTCTTTCTCACTTTCTCTCATGCATTAATTTGACTGCAATACATAGGCACATGAAGCACAGGTGCCATTTCACCTAACTAACTCTATCATGCCTTTAATTCCTAAATCTATAGCTAATTTAATTAATTAATAAATGTTTTCAAAGATATGTCATATTTATCCTCAGCACTAGTTTTAAAACAGATGGGCTGGACTGCTGATTCATTACAAAACTCATTCAATGCAGCAGTACCCAAACTGCTGTATATAGTTATACAGTAAGCAAACATGTCTAGTTTCAGAGAATATAACAGAGACAAACAACTGTTATCATTCACCAGAAAGGACATAAGCAAGTTCCCAGTAAAACTAAAATGCACTGGCAAGTGACTTTAATTTATTAGACTTTCAAAGCAATGAGGAGCAAACTTTTGTGAAGTACATTCATAAAGCAAGTGCTTGGTGGTAAGCAGTGGCACATTTCTATTTTCTGTATCTTTGTATAAAAGCCTGTTCCTGGAAAGATAATGACAGGGCTGCTGAGATAGAAAAAGAAATTGCCATGGCTTACCGCTGTTATGTGCTTCCAACTGTGAGGCAGAGTTGACAGCTACCTTGCATAGAGAGCAATAGAGCAGTCGTTTAGCTTTTTCTTCCTCTGTCTCCATTGGAGGGCAGGCCTTGCTGCCAGTTGGTGACCCTTCTTTCTTGCTTGCCCCAAAGGTTATTTCTGTACTTGTAGTCGTGGTGCAGTTTGTCAATGCTGTTCCTGTGGCTGTTGTTGATAATGGCAATAGTGGTGTCCCTGTTGTGCTATCTGATGTTAAACAAAGGAAGAGAAGGAGTGATACGATAGTGGATAATGATGCTATTGCAATAAGGTGATTTTAATGTCACATTATAATGGACTACAGGTGCTTTTCACTAATTTACACCACACTTCACATGAGATGTAAAATAAACAAATGAAACAATGCTTGAAAGCAGGATAATCCTTCCCCTTATTAATGTCTTTTGAAAGCATTCAGAATGGTATCTTATTAAAGACCACAAATTACCCAAGACATCTGTACCAATCTGCAATGAAACCACAAAATGCATCTGTTATGTTGCTAAGGACAGTTGTTCCATGGCAGGAGTTTAAATAGATAATGTTATGAAAAAAAATGTATTTGCATTTAGGAGAACATAGTAGGGTGATTGTTTATGCAATAGCTCTTCAGTAAAATGAGCAATATTTTTCATAAAGAGAAATGTCAAATGCATGTTTAAAGGATAAGAATATGATAAAACGTGATACTGGTATTGTATACTGTACATTCTTACTCTCTTTGGAAACACTAAATAAGCTCAACCACATTATTAGGGTTATGTAACACTCAACTTTACATAAAACCATTGCAAATTAATTTACAAAAAACGATTTGTGTACCTTTACTGATACATATACAGTATGTAATTTGGATCTATTTATAGCCATATACTATATGGTTTCCTCAAATTATTTTCCACTATTTATTAAATTAGTTTTCATTTTATGTCTACAAATTGATTTAATCCAAGATTTTTTTTTATTGCAGAATATAATGTACTGTATTTATTGGTTAAAAATATGTTAATCTGAGCTAAACTAAGGATATAATAGAACTGATACCTAGTACCATCAAAGTATAATATAGTAAACATGCATATGAATATGAATATGGTTTCCAGAAATTACCTCAATACAGTTGATAAATGACTGTATTGAACAATTCAGTATGTCAGTCATATTTGCTTTACAATGTCTTAGTATGATCCTTACATTTAGCAATTATGTTTCATATTAATTTGAGGCATCTGGGTTCAATTCATTGGATTCTACAGTATCTGTGTGGAATTTGTATGTTTGGGTGCTCCAGTTTCCTCCTATAGTCCAAATCATTCTACTAGGTTAATTGGCTTCTGGGAAAAACTGTGTGTCCGCCCTGCTATGGACTGGTGTGCAATCCAGGTTATAACCAGCCTTGCATCCATTGCTTTTTAGGATAGTTTCTGGTTCCCCTGTGGCCATTTACTGCATAAAGCATTTAGAAAATAGATGGACAAACTGTATGTTTTAAAAGTCACTGGTACTCCATTTGAGCACTAGTACAAATTTGCTTCCTTTACGTCTTATATTCCTATTGTTATTATACCAGCTTCACATAATCACACCAAAGCCCCTTTAAGAAGGCATAGACTTCGATCAGTCATTTAACCACTCACTTTACCTGTTCACCACAACACCCCCAGCTCTTGGATACTTTAGGACTGTCTGCCTTAAGGTCAGTGCTCAGTATTGGGTTTCACCTTGTGAGCTAACTACAGTACTTCATTGATTTCTGTTCTGTTGTGTTCTCAGTGACTGTGTATTTCTGTGCATTCCTTGACTCCTGTTTTCTGGATTTCATCTTTGGTTTGTTCCCCAGAGCTTTACATGGTGATTGAACTTTGGTTGGTCTTTTACCTCGATTTCTGGATCATTCCTTAGCTTTGTTTGTAAGGGTTTGTTCATGGACTCCTGATTACTCGGTTATTGCTCTTTCTTAGTTGCATGTTACAGTTACAGTTACTTTTGCATAGGGTCTATCTTTTACACAGCATAAAGTCTTAACACCTATCTGCTATAATGACAAGGAATATTATTTCACTTAAGTGAAGTGAAGATTTAAGTGTTATTAAAGATTTCTAATAAACTTCAGTATTGGCATCCTTGAATGGACAATAAACTTGCACTTTGGGCCGCTGTTTAAAGGACTAGGAATGCAACTGAAAGGGGTCTATTTTATACACCACTGTCTATATCACAAACTGGCACCATTCATTAACTCCCTAATGATTAGTTGTCTAATAATGGTATCTCCATCTGGTGTACACCAAAGAAGACCATTTTGACTAAGACTATGGGTCAGAGTTTCTGGTCAACAACAAAGATGAAAAAACAACCAGTGAGGACCTTGCTGGGCCTCACCTGGAATGACACGGACAATGCTGAATATTTACTGTATGTTTTAATATGGCTCATTTAATGATTTAACATTGACTTTATTTTTGATCATCTGTGTCTTCCTACCTGTTTACCTGCTTCATGGACCAACAACAGCTACTGTACTGTATATGACTACGGCACTATGTCCATTGTTCCAAACCTTCTGAGTAAAACAATCAAGATGTGAAGTGCAAACAATTCCAGTGGAAACTCAGCTCCCATTTTTCCTGAAGTAATGTATTTCAGTTTGTATGAGAAGGAATAAAACTTGTCATTAAGCAATGCTGAATTCACACTGATCACTTCAATAACCTGATAACAACAGCTCAAAGTAAAAAACACATGAGCAGCCAATATGAAGTGTTGTAGTAGCTAATCCATCAGATTTGAAAATCAAATCGATCAATCATTAGGTGACTATTTGTTCTGTACTATATGTCCATAAAGCTAAAAATCTGTTTTTTCTACTACAAAATACCAATCTATCAGAGTTAACTGATACTTTAAAAATGGCTAAAATAGTGGTTAAAGATTTCCAAACAAATGTGTTTCTGCATAAATAAAGAAAATTATTGAGTCAAAAGAGAAGAACAATGCAAGTCATTTAGGACTTTGAATTGCTCTCTGTATAAGAAATTCATAGTAAAAATGCTAAAATATTTTTGTGATCACGCTTCTTTTAATTAATTTCAGGCAGTTTGTTTCAAACTCAAAGAGCCCTAAGTAGCATTAGACAATTAATGATATACTGTATGCTCTGAGCAGAAAGGATTTGGCTACTTCATTTCTGGTACCCACTTTCACTGGATCAGTGGACTAACAGAAGATCAATGATAACAGAAGATCCAGTGATGACAGGGGAAAGAATGCAGAGGCTCCCAGTGGAAAGCCAATGTTTTTAAGCTGTAGTGAGACCAGCCAACCAAACCTGTTTTAGCTTCTTTCAAGGTCAGAAATGTGAGTTCTTCATTAGTGAAAGTAATAAAGAAGAACAAAGAATAAAGAATAAAGTTCCAGATAAAGAACTGGAAAGTTGTCTCAAAGACCTAAGCAGATCAAGACATGTACTTGTAGGTGCCCAATACACTCCCTGGTAAAAGTGTAAACAAAGAAATAGGGACTAGGTTACCTGACAACGTAAATTTGGCATTCAAAAATCATTCAATGACTTAACTTAATTTTGCACTTGACCATTTGCTGATACTGTCATTATATCACAAATGCTGACCCTTTATTTCTCTAAAGTGTAGAAGAAAAGGGGTGCTTACCTGCATGGGATTTCTGATCAAGCAAAAATGGGTATGCAAGATTTAAATATATATTGAAGATAAAAGAAAGGTATGTCTTCTTTGGAATGTCAAATGTTTTTTTATACCCTGATTGAGAAACAAAGCTAATCAAAATAATTTATAGATGAAGCAGAGACTGTTTACATACAGTACAGTAATATATTGTATCATCAGAATATAGTGATATGCACTGTTAAGCACAGTCGGCAGTAACACAGGCCCTACTTGCAGACTAATTGATACTGTATCTTAAGTGGTTCCAAAGGCTATGTAAATGATAGAGATGTAACCTGATACATGCCCCAAGACATCTGAATCTGGTGATCTGGAGACCACAGGTGGTGCGGATAGGCAATAAAACATCAACACCACTCACCCTGAGCACTGGAACCCCACAAGGCTGCTGTCTGAGTCCAAGTTTGTACTCCCTATTTACTCACGACTGCACAGCAAGACACCGCAACAACTGCATCATTAAGTTTGCCGATGACACCACTATAATAGGACTGATCAGTGATGATGACGAGTCCACTTACATGGATGAAGTTGTACAGCTGCTTAGGTGGTGTCATAGCAATAACCTGGACTTGAACATAAAGAAAACGAAAGTGCTAATAGTGGACTTTCGGAGACACAGGCCATACACTCACAGCCCACTCAGTATTGATGGAACGGAAGTGGAAACAGTCACCAGCTTTAGGTTT